CATGTCTAGATCATCATTCACTGGCACTGGCACACTTGAGCATTATACCTTTTGGTGTGTGGGGCTTTGCACACATATTAACCCGACTCTGTCCATTTTTGGGGGAGGAAGACTGAAGTAACAGACATTTGCTTCCATTTCACGCATGTATATGTGTAATACTGCGGAGACTGTGATGCTCGCTCTATGGTGTTCATCGCATGCAACATCTTGCCGTATCTGGAATGTGAGCTTGCAAGTCAAGCCGTGGCTGGGGCCTGGCCAGGGAGTTGGCGCTCAGCTGGCCGGATCTCGGCTTAGCTTGCTCCGGCTTGATGATCCAGCTCGATCCAGCGCGTCAGCTTGGCTTAGCTTAGCTGGCTTGGCGGCAACACTAAGGGACACGGAGTTGCACCTGTGGCAATGGACATTGATAGTCTTCAATTATTCGCACCTATGCTGCTACTTTGACGCGCGAGTGAGTCTCACCCGACAAACAATCGTAATCCGTTCACCTCAATGCAAGAACTGGAGTCATGGGATGTGTGTAGAGCCTACACCTCCACGTTAACCCTTGTCTCGGTAATTACTACATAGACCTGGCGGTGCTGTGCCACCGAGCCCATCGTCGTGGGCCAACCACCTATTTTAGTCCGTCGTTGGTCATAGCGTCGTCAAGGTCAGTCGGCATGAGAGAGCATCGCCACCGTACATATCTTCATGGAGGTGAAAAGGTCACGTTGGGCCAAGACGATGTTCAGATACACATCTTGTTCCCGTGTGACGAGTAGGATACAAGGGTATGAGCAAAACTACAGGCGGTATATCGAGTGCAGGGTAACATGCAGGAACCTTGAATACTTATGAAGGAATAAAACATATAGAGCAAGCGTACATCTACAACGGTTCGGCATGTCCAGACGCCATCGTCATCGACAGTGGTCCAGGAACTCTGCATTATATATAGTTGCATAACACAATTATTGAAAGATCAGACTCCAGAGTTCAGATGTTCGCTTCCTCCTCGTAGATCCGCACACCACCCTTGCCCCAGGCCTCAAGGACGGCCTTGCCCGCGCCTGTCGGCTGAGTGAACGCGATGTGGCCCCGCGCAGGGTTCAGCGGGCACCCATGGATGAACGTTGCCGCGGCGACAGAGAGCAGACGAGACGCGATGCCCAGCCGGCGGTGCTCGGACGAGACGAACAGCCGAGGAACACCCATGCTGGTGGGCAGCAATGTGGGGTGAACGTAGAGGTTCGTTGAGTCGTCCACAGGGAGAAGCGACAAAGCGGGATTAACGGAAGGCGATGCCTGGGTAGCGGGCTCGAGAGTTTCGGCGGCTGGCTGGGAAGAGGACGAGGTAGTGTGTGTGGAGGGAAACGCGGCGGAAATTTCGGACGGACGGGCGATAGCCATGGCGGAAGAGATGCGTTGGGCGACGACGCAGCCAACGATCTTCTCTCTCTGCGGCGCGGGGCCGGGCGGGGAGGAGAGGAAGAGGTAGATCTTGGATTTATGGAGCACCGCCTTGGAGAGTGCCGGAGAGGAAAGCGCGAGGCGAATAGTCTCGAGCAGAAGGGAGAGCTGCACACGACCACATAAGGCCTTGACTCTTGGTCGCGCACGAGTTGCGTAGAATGAAGACGCACCTTGGCGCCGATCTTGCCGCCAATGTCGGGGCGGAAGCAGATGATACGCCCGCGCGAGCCGTTGCTGAGCTTGATGTTACTCTCAAGCTCCTCGACGCCTCCCTTGGTTTCTTCGCGCGTCTCCTCCTTACCCCACTCAAGACCACGCTGAACGCGTGCGCAATGCGCCTTGTGTAGAGACTCATCATCAGGAGCGCCCCGAGTGTAGGAGAGGTCACATAGGGGACAGGTGCGGAGCGTCGGAGTGTCCAACGAGAAATGCAGCTGAGTGAGCTTGGGTTGCTTGCTTTTGCCCTTATCCCCCGACTTCGCAACCTTCCCGTCAGATTTGAGGACGCGTCGCGGCTTCTTGGTTGGGGTATTCTGCTCCGTGGGACGGTCGGTGAATGGCCGCTTCCGCTTGGTCGGAGGTGGTGAGGTGAGCTCGGAGGTTGGCGAGGACGGTAGGAGGGATTTAGCCGTGGAAGAGCGCGTGCTATATGTTCTCCTGAGGTCCGCAGGCATGATGTTGTCGATAGCAGATGAGTAGGGATAGGGAGGTGGTGGTGGGAGTCGAGGGACGGGCGGTGGCTGATCCGAGGCAACAGGCGCGTCGCGTTGGCCTTGTTTGGTCCACACCCACATCAACGCGTTCGTCACGTGCTCTTCCCTCGCGTTGGTGGCGCCGACCACTCGTCGCGGGCGCTGGCACTGCACCACTACGCTACCGTTATCGTCCAAGGGGACACACGCAGATTCAGCACTTGTTCTGTCCTTCTATTCAGCGTCTCGCTTGTTCTTCCTGAAATGCTACTGACACGAGAAGTCGGCCAAATAATAGGTAGTGAAATCCCTACTACTTCACGGAATCTGAACAATGTAAATGATACTGATGCTCCTTCTCCTTCTCGAAACAGCAACATCGCCAGAACGGAAGCAACCCACATGCTCATGTCTTCCCGTGAGGTTGCCGCGATCGCCGCCGCCGCCTCCATTCTCCATGACTTGACAACGGTCGAACTTCATCGTCCTGGTCTCTGCGAACACTGATCTCCTCCACAACCAATGAACACTGATAGCCAGCCTTCACCTCCAGGGAAAAGGCCAAAGAGACCGAGAGTCCAGTCGTGGACCGGAACACCGCATTGAGGTTCTCCACCTTATTGGACTTTCCCATCCACGTCACCTCGGTCCTGCCCGTCGAGTGGATCCAGAGCATGGACCCTTTCTGGACGGGATGCCCATAGGGGTCCAACATCGAACATTCCTCCAGGACCATGCAAACGACGACATGGTTGCCGTGCCGAGAAGACTCGTATGTGCCGGAAAGGAAGAAGTCGATGTCGCGCTTTCTTAGGCTGAACCTGCGTCGCCGGTTCCCATGTGCATCAGACACGATATCGCACTCGACCTCATAGCCATTGGAAGAGAAACCCTCATCGATGGTGGGCGCGAGCAGCACGTCCGCCTCGTCGATGGTGATCAGCGCAGACTCGGAGGTGGAGCGGTCGTAAGACGGTAGGTACACAGACCAAAGCAGGTCGCGCATATGAGGAGACTGGCGGGCCTGAATATCCTTCAGCGACAGAGCGACAAGACGGCAGGTTATGAACGGCCCGACAGAAGCTCGCGGCCTCCACCTCAGACCTGCGGACACGAGCTGAGTGTGTGATTCAGAAGCGTCTGGATGTACAGAGAATGCGACCGCGATGAAATCGTCCGCGGACCCCTCGCTGTGCTGACAGGCCAGGATGACGAAGACGTAATCCGGGGTGGTGTAGTGCGCGTGCGCTGGGACGACGGGCAGTTCAGTCCGCAGACCGTACGAAGAAAATGAGTACTCTGGCGGTTGGAGGGTGCTCCGCTGAAGCTTCGTGCGGAAGCCGTGGTGGGATAAACTGACGATGGCGTCGCTGTGCGCGAAATCCGATGGTGCTTGTGCAAAAAGTGTGACGTCGAGCGTCACAAGGTCGAGGACTTCCGGCGGCGCCGGTGGAGGGATGCGTCTTGGGAACGGCAAGCCCCAGGCGAAGATGCTCTGATCTGGGATCTGCATGAGTATCTTCTCCTGGAGGCGGAAGAAGGCATGGCGGCCCTCTCCATACAGGGTCTCCATGTTGATGCCGAAGATACCCAGCAGGCAATACGCCTCGTCTTCAACTCGTGTCGTGCTCCTGCGGGAAGCCCAAGACATCCGCCTCGCGACGCTGACTTGGTCGAGCGACTTCTGGTGCCTCAGGATATCCTGGTCGATCCCGGTGATCGTCTCGACGACATCGACCAGGCTCACTTTCGTCCCAAGCGCGACCCAATCCCTCGACAGGAACACCAGCGATCGGGAAGCGATCAGCTCCTGCAGCGTCCATCCACGAGTGAACCACCGGCTCTGGTAGAAGGGGCTCCCTGGCGATCGTATCTCTGCCCTGTTGGCGGTGGGGACGTCTGCCAGAAACGCGTAGCAGACGGATGCGTCGCGATACCATCTATGCATCGAGTTGATGGCTTCGGACAGCTCGGAGCTGCTCGTCTTGTCAATGCAGCATGAGTCGATCCAGATGTAGCGATACCCATGCTCTCGAGCAACGCGGCAGGCCTCGCGAACTTTGGAGGTCAGATCGGGATGATCGAGGATTGAGCTCGAGTACGCGATCGAGAACGCGGAAGACGTATGCGATACGAGGGTAGGACTGTGACTGGGCGATACTGTTCGACGGTGTATAAGCTATGTGGCAAAGTGACACGGAACGGGGATATACCTTCGTCGACCACCGCGGTCAATTGAGACGAGTTTTGGATTTGTAAGGCATCTTGGTAGGACAGCTCTCGTCTGTCCCATACGTGGGACAAGATGGCGTATGGGACTGTCCCCGGATTATTGACAAAGTGACCCGTCTCGGTATCGAGCAAGCGCATCCTTAACTTTCGATCTTGTCGACGCCGCGCAGCGGATCAGCTACGTCTCGCCTTCGATATACAGTACTATCGACTTACACCTGGGAGGTTCATGGGTGTCCTGGTAAGAGAAGGATAAGAAGGGAGAGCCAATATCATCGGATGGTGTTAGTGCGGCTCAAGATGTCAATCAACGATGGGCGACTCCGGACATCGCGATACCGGGATCGCCGACGTCCTCACCAGTACATGACGAAGTCATAGCTCTAGCATCATAAAATTGGAATTCAAGTAGCTTGCAATGAACCATTGGGCTACACTGGGAAGTCTTCCGACATACTACGTAGATCAACCGACTAGACTGTGTCTAATGCCGTCTCAATCACATTAAGACGGTATGACCAGGACGCCGGAATGCACTCCAAACCGAAACTCAGAATCCAAGAGGGTGTCAAGTGAAATTCCGTCAGCCTCCAGTTATGCACCCAATGCGTGGAGCCTGGTACCACATGAGAACACCTGCCTAGGACCCCGCCGGTAAGGGGCGGACACTCCTTTACGACCAGATATATCGCGGCCTCGTCGCCATGTCGAGTCGACCCGTATTCGACCTCGAAGATCATATCAGCCTTGGAGAGGGTAAGTCGGCGGAGGGGAAACCACAAGGTGCCGATGCTCTCATCCTTGACGACGTATCCTCTCGCTCGCAATCTCTCATAAGAATGCTTCGAAAGAGTGGCCATAGACCGCTTCACAGTCACAACGGACTCTGCAACGTAATCTGGAGAGGACAGGTGGATCGTCTCATGATGCAAGGATTGTCGGTGTATGCACGAAGCTAGCGAGGACTGCGATATGGTTACCAGACGCTTGAGACTGAATTTGTCAGTCGGAGAGTTCTGATGAAGGCGTGCTAGGGGTATGAGGACGTTGATGTCGAATGGGGAGGCTTCTTGATCGTGCGAGAGGAGAAGAGCGACGAAGTGTTTCTCGCCATTAAGAGTCGGTCCACAAGCTAGGATCGCGAGACGCAACCAAGGGGGGCTCGTCTCGATCTTGAGCTCTTCAAGGAACGAATCGGTTGGGATCAAGGGGACTCGCGTACGCAGACCATACGGAGTGAACGTGTATTGCGCGCCGTCAGCCATCTCGGAGCCGAGGGCACGGTCACGAACAAAGGAGTCAATATCATGGCTGCCTGCAAAATCGGATGGGGATCGTGCGAAAAGTGCACTGTCCAGAACGGGGGGCGGTGCTTCGACACGAAAGTGCATGGGGAAGAGCACCTTTCGTTGTTCGTCCAAGGTCGAGGGTATCTCCCAGGCAAAGAGGCTTTGATCCTGCGTTCGCAATAGAATCGCCTGCTGTAAGCGGAAGAAAGCCTGGTGGCCCTCTCCGTAAACTGGTTCGATATCGACGCCAAACAAACCCATGAGGGAGTATGCTTCATCCTCGACACGCGTAGCGCGCCGGCGAGAAGCCCAGAACATGCGCCTCGCAACGCTGACATCGCTGGGCTGCTTGCGATGTGTCAACACGGACTCCTCGATACCAGTAATCTGCGCAATCATTTCCGCCAGATCCTGCTTCGTTCCGAGGGGTGTCCAGTTCTGCGAGACGAAGACCAATGACTTCGGGGCGATAAGCTCCTGCAGAGTCCATCCTCGAGTGAACCATCGGCTACGGCGTAAACGACTATCCTGGGGCCGTATTCCTGCGGTGTCTAAGTCGGAGACGTCTGCGAGGTATGCATAACAAACGGCCGCCCTGGAGAACCGGTGGAATGTCATGCGAATGGCTTCTGAGGACTCTAGGGTGCTATCATCGTCGACGCAACAAGAATTGATCCAGATGTAGTCGAGATTGTCGTTGCGAGCTGTGGTGCAGGCGTTCCGGATCTTTGGCGGCATCCGATAGTCGTCGAGAACGCATCCGGATCGCGGCTGCTCACTGGATAAAATAGATGACAAGGCAGGGGACACCGACGCATGCGGAGCTGGTGGGGATGTCGGGGAAAGGATAGGGTACGAAGTGGGGGACGTTCTAGGAGTCGCGTGGCGACCGTATTCTTGCTGAATTGCTCGGAGATCCTTGAACGACAGCTCGACCTCCTTATCATACGCGTACATATACGATAGGATCGCAAATTGAACATCCTCGAGTTTGCCGTCGTCAACTTCATGAAATTGTCCGGTAGTGGTATGCAGCAGACGCATGACTCTAGGTTCCTGCGGAATGAGTTCATAGTAAGCTACAAGTCAATATTGTGTGGGTAGATCAACTTGCGTACCTGCGATTCCTACAGACTTAAAACAATGTAGGGCCAGCGGGTGAGAGGGAGTCGGACACGACTTGTCTGGATGGCACGTTCGTGCAACTGTCAACTACTCATTTATCCGTTTGCGAACCTTTGCAATGCTGTCAGGAGGGCGTCTCGTGGTCGAAAGATAGTATCATGTGGTAGTTGCATGCCAAAGCTCGCGGACGATAGGCGTCTCCTACAGCCGCTCAGTGCCATAGTCATTGAGATCAGCGAAACGGCAAATAGGCGCCATAGACCTTACCTCCGACATTATGTCGATTTTATCGCATGCGAGGCTGGCACGCAGTAGATAAGTCTCAGAATGAACGTGTATTGCGGGGCGAGTCAGGTTCGTGCTGGGGGATCAATACAGCCATGTGGTATGTATGTCTATACATGTGCGAGGGTGCATGCTGCAACATCCACGCGGTATCGGACCGAAGGGGTCATGGAAAGAGAGAATCCAAACCCGCTGGGCATCATGAGACAGGTCGCAAAGGTTGACAAAGAGACTCGTGTCTTTTGGTACAAATACACAACCGTCCGTGCGGTTGGTGTTACCAAGGCCGTTGGCAAGCGATGGTGTCTAAGACCGGGTCCACGAAGTGACGGTGGACTGGAAGCCGTTCACATTCGCGCTGGCAGGGATGATGGGGCTACCCTCGATGGAGAGCGAGGTGGTCACGCCGACGGTAGCGAGACTGTACACGCTCACGGTGGAGCCCGAGTCGATGTTGAAGATCTGGCTCTGGCAGCTGGTGGTGTTCAAGCAGGCCTGGTCGTAATTTTGGTAGAAGCTGTAGAGACCGGCACCTACGAGTGGGATCCAGTTAAGCGTCAATGTCAAAGTGAGCACGAAGGATTTTCATACCGAAGATAATGATGTCAGACGAAGACTCGATGTTGACAGCCCATGCCGACGTCTGCGAGCCCGAGTACGTGGGATCGTGAAGAGCGCTGTTCGTGCTGAACGGAGCAGGTGGCGCGGGGACCGGCTGGTAGTACGGCTGCAATAGGGAGGATCAGAAGCTGGGGTCAAAAGCTCTGCGCATCAGAACTGAACGTACAGTCTCGGTCTGGATCAATCCCAAGTAGTGGTCCTTCGCGCCCACGAGGTTGTACTGGTAGAGCGTGTGGTGCTCCGCTGTCGCGTACGTGTTATCAGTCCGCGCAGCTCGCTTGCATGGCATCACGCCATGCCAGAACGAGATACTCACATCCCGTGCCGATCAGCCAGACGGGACCAGCAGACTCTGATAGGATACCGCGACCGCTGAACGCCGTAATCTGCTTCGATCCTCCGCTGTCGAGGTCGTGGTCTGCGAGCCAGACCCAAGTGCCCTGCGTTCAGTTCGTTAGAGCATGCTCTATCTCCCTAGAGACCCGAACAACATCATACCTCGAGATATGCGGTGGAGCCCTCGGTGAGATGGAGGGCGAGGTAGGCAGCGGAGCATGCGTCATTGACAGTACCGTTGGCGCAGTTAGAAACAAGCAAGTTCGTGCCCTCAGCTGGCGAACGGAGCTGATGAGTTTCACACAAAGGAAAGAATTCATATCTGCAAACTCACCACCGCCGAGACGAATGTGAGAATCCCACAAACCGGCTCCGCCCTGGACGTCAGAGTGGATGTTCCACTCGACGACAATGGCACCTGCAGCTGTGAACGACAGTCTGGTGAGCATCGAACACCATTTGAGCACACAAAGAATGCATACCAGGGGCCTGGGTCGCGAAGATTATGTCTGAAATCTCAACTATACCAGTGTCGCCTGGCTGGCCAACCTGCACCACGACCTTCGGGTTGGACTGGTCGGAGAACGCGCTACCGGATCCCAGGAAGACACTCCAGGCCTCACCGACAACCTGCGCGCCGGCAGGAATCTTGAGCGTGTCGGTAATAAGGTACGTGCCAGCGTCGACGAAGATGAGGCTGCACCCCGCATGCTGGTCGAAGACAGCCTGGAGAGCAGCAGTGTCATCGGTCTTGCCGTCGCCCTTCGCGCCCTGGTCGCGGACGCTGACGACCTGGCTGACGGCGAAGTCCTCGTACTGAGGGTGCGCCTTGCCGAAGATACGGCCGGCGCTGTCGAGGAGGCTGCTTGGCTTGTTCGGCGCCGCGATTTTGTCCTGGGTAAAGGTGCCGGTCGTTGAGGAGCCGGTGTAGACGTTGCCCTGGCCCCATGAATCGATGACCTGGGTGCCCGAGGAGCCCGCAAGGACAGTGGCGCCACCGGCGACGGTGACGGCCGTAGGGACGTTGGTTAGATGGATGTTGTTGAGGACGAGGGCACCCGCAAGCTTGCCGTTGGAGGCGGTCGAGGAACGGACAAGTATGGGCGTGTTGGAGACAAAGCCGTCGATAACGGCAATCGAGCCCACAGTCTGTTTGGCCACGAGGATCAGCCTACGACACGACTGATGCAGAGAATCAAAGGCGAACCTGACTATCTTGCGTGAGACCGCCCGTGGTGAGGTCGAAGGCGACCTGGCAGTTGTTGACTGAGCAAGCGGTGATCAGGGACGGTTAACATTACGGAGGGTCCAGAGCATCTGCATGAGGGAACATTGCGCACCAGTGACACCCTGGAAAGTCCAGCCTGGAGAACGTGTGAGTCGCGATGCTTGACAGCCGGTACGCGGTCGGATAACGCACCCCAGTTCCAAATCGAGAAAATGGCTGCATGAGAGCTTGCGGTCAGCACCGGTCCGACCAACTCTGGGCATAGCCTGGAAACCTACCAGTATTCGCGTTGTTGACGGTCACGTTGCGGACTGTGAACCTTAGGGAGCCGTCAGTCTAGCTATATCTCGTGACGTCAGAAACTACCACGTACTGCTGGTTGCCGACCCACATGCCGTATTTGCCTGGCAGAATTTTGGCAGCAATTAATACAGATGCTTGTCTTCCGGGACGAAAACTGTTACCTCCGTTGAAAACAACGTCTACAACGAGAGTCATAGTTGAGCTCATTATATGCACCGCAATCCGATAAGGATGCTTACCGCCCAAGAAACCACCAGAACCGTTCTCCATCCATATACCTGTCAGATACGTACGTGTTTGAGCTGTCAAAGGCCAGGCACAGGACACGACGGTAATGAAGAAACGCCTTTTCAAGAGCATACCTTGGTGGCCAGTGTTGGGGTCAGTGCTCATCTCGAAGACGACATTTACGATTGAGGTCGCTTGCGAGACTTGCCAGTGGATACCGGTGGTGGTCGCGGTTGCGGGCGTTTGGGTGAGGTCGATAACGAAGTTGCGAATGCTCCGGAAGAAGTTGTTCTGGTTCACGTACCACTGGGCACCGCCGCCACCTGGGATGTACGGGTCCGCATCTGCGTAAAGAAAGGCCGACGTCAGCAAATTTAAGTGAGAGGTACGACTCCCAAGCTCCTTCCGTCTGCAACATCTCGGACGTCGAGGGACGGACGACACCGTCTGCCCCCGGGGAGATAGAAGCCTCTCCTCACGAGAAGCGGGGGGGGGAGCCTCTCCTCACGAGAAGCGAGCCTCTCCTCACGAGAAGCGGAGCCGTGGGAAGAGCACTAGGTACAAGCTGAGACGCGTACCGATGACAGCGAAACCCGAGAAGCTTGCATCGGCGAGCAACTTAGGAGGGTTGCGTGCATCACCGATCAGGACGGTGTAGTAATAGGCACTGTTGAACGTGAAAGAATTCAGCCCTGGCCCAGGTCAGGGGCAGACCTAGATGACAATACGTACACAATCGCCGAGGTGACTTTGTAAGTGCTGTGATTATGCCGGGATCAATGAAAGATGTCCGAGTGATCACATGAACACGCGGCGTACCCGGAAGGGAAGTAGACAACTGCGGGTTGGGTAGTAGTCGAGTCGCAACCTTCGCCGCACCTAGTGCCAGACGAGATAGCATTGCTGCACAAAGCCGATACCTCAGCGGATGCACGTCAACTCAATAGAAGTGAGATAGCGTACTTGATTGCGGCGGTGTCGTCCGTTACACCGTCGCCAACGGCGCCGAAGTCCTTGACGTTGCGGAAGACCTGATACCCACTAGGGTCCGCATTGAAGGCAGCGATACCTTGGTGCTTGATGCTCTGCAGCCAGTAGGGGTCCCCTGCAGCGGCTGTGCCAGTGACACCGGTTGTAGAGCAGCTCTGGCCTAAGACGGGCGCGACCAAAGACGTCGCCGCCGCGAAGAAAGAAAGAATACCAAACGAGCGCATGGCGGAAAGACGACGCCGGGGCCGCAGCGGATTTAGTAGGAAGACCAGACGAATGTCGATGGACGATTATATATCGCCCCGGGCCATAAGGGCGGTGGGGGGCCGGGACCACATGTCACGCAAATGAAAAGTAAGAAAACCGTGTGCACGACGGCAACGCATTCGGACATATTATGAAGGGAAACGTACGGGTAAAGTTTACAGGTGCTTGTAGT